CGCACGCTCGCACAACTTACAACTTGGAATAGTAGTTCGAAGCGATTTTTTATTTTCTCAAAGACCTCAGAACTTTAATTCATGCCTTTGTCCGTCAAGTTCCAGCAAGAAAAACACTCGAGGCACCCTACCTTTTCAAATTTGCGGGACGTGACTGCAAAACATTCGTCGTAGAAATTCGGGGCAGGAGAATTTCCGAATAACTATCACCTGTAATCACGGTGTCAGCGGCGGAATAGTATAGCAAGTAAATTAGTAGCTATTACAGATCATAAGGTCACCCCACCACCACGTCATGCATCGAGTGATGTCCTACATCGCCGATTAGTAACGCCCGCTCATTAGGGCGTCCGTGTTTGCATTGGTCTCAGCGCTAGCCGAGTTCAATGGCCTCCTGAAAACTTTTTGTATTCATTGACGGCAGCGTGGACGAAGTTCAATGGCCACCTGCACAGGTCTTGTGTTCTTTGCGAGTACGATCAATCAGAGCATAATTTTACACAAACAGCATATAGCATATAATTAATGTTTTGGATGCAATAATATACACTGTCTAAATTGTACTTGCGCGATACTATATTAATTAATTAGCGGCCTGCGGTAGTTTTATTTCTGGATCTAACGGCACATACTCCTACTCCTATGCACCTAAACAATCTTAGGGTTAAAGTTTAGTAGCAAAGTCTTTACTTACTAACTTAGCGGTTATTTGCTACGGTTGAATTACGTCTGATGTTGGATGCATTTACGATAATATTATTATTCTTTTCGTGTTATGCCTACCTGGATACATAAACTTATGTATCAGTAAGATGAAGTGGTGAGGTATCGGCCTTATAGCTCGAAGAATCGGCAACTCACAAAAGAAGGTCTCTTGTGACCGAGGGCATAAAGTAAACATAGGAATGATTTTCAATGAATATTACGCATAATTTTTATTGAATGAATAAATATATTTCTTATTTTATTGATACCGCGCTACATATTTTTCCATGCTCTAATACATTTTCAGGAATAAGGGGCTTATGACCATTTCGTCGGCAGATTGAATGATTCTTTATTAAATATACGGCATCGCTGATTTCAAATGCTCGCTGGTTTTTAAAATGCCGTAGGTATATTGTAGTGTCGGGCCTTTTTATAATATGGTCGACAATTTATTTGCCATATCACTGTATCTAATTTGTATTTTATCCTCCTCCGTTGAAAAGGCTGTACCGATTTTGATGAATTAGTTTTGTGATTATATTCATTCGATAATGATTTCGATTTAAGTTTTAGGACGTAGCTTTGGGCCTCACCTTAACCTACTGTCACATTTATTACCAAGTAGGTGTCGCTGGAGAAGTGTTTCCAGCAACTGCTCAACCACGAAGAGCTTGGCGATCGGAAATCGTCGCAGTTCTCACGCCACCTGCAAAATCTAGCAGGAACATCTGCAGCGTCAGACTTTACGAAAACTTTATGGTCGAGTCGCTTACCTCTGTCGTAAAGCGACAATTAAAAACTAAAGAACCTAACCTAACAACAACGAAACAACAAAAATAGAACAAAAACGAATAATTTATTAAAAATTTCAAAAGATATTTACAGTTTTATAATAAAAAAAAATATGGAGATGATGATGTGTGACGTGAATTACATTTTTTTTTAAATAACAAAGATAAATGAGTACTGAAACGGAGCCCGAAGACCAAGGTGGCACACCGCGCTTGGCAGTGGTGCTCACCGATCACGGAGTATGCACAGGCTATGCCTGTGGCAGGTGCGCAGCGCGTGATCTAGGCACACGCAGCGTCTGGAGTAGGCACACGCAGGCTTAAAGTAGGCACACACAGCGCCCGGACTAGGCACACACAGCGTCTGGAGTAGGTACACGCAGCGCTTGAAGTAGGCACACACAGCGCCCGGAGTCGGCACACACAGCGCCCGGAGTAGGCACACGTAGCGCCCGGAGTAGGCACACGCAGCGCTTGAAGCAAGCATGCACAGCGGCTAAAGATAGTGCGGGCACTAGTAGTTAGAGGCGGGGCAGTGCGGCCCCGGGATCCTGCAAGCCTCTGCCTTCACCTGAAGTCGTCGCCTAGCCACGCCTACGCCTCAAGCAACTGTTCTCGCTCATCCGGACCCAGCTGCAGAACTAGCAGTAGTGACAGATTCATCTGAAACTGCCACAGGTGCCATTCTTTAACAAGGGAAAGGTAAGGATTGGCAACCTACGACCGAGAGCTACTGGCTGTCTACGAAGCCATCATATGGTCTAGGCCAGAATATTTACGATATTCACCGAGCATAAGCCTCTTATCTTCGCTTTCTCAAAGAGCAAAGATAAATTCACCCCAAGACAGTTCAGACACCTTGACTACATTGCTCAGTTTACGACAGACCTGAAATACTTACCTGGTAAGGAAAACTTAGTTGCTGACGCACTTTCTAGAGTCGATGAGATCACAACAGCTGTGGACTACGACGATCTTGCACGAGCTCAGGACAAAGATCCAGAACTGCAAAATCTACTTCGTCATGGCTCTACCCTGCAAATGAAAAGGATCAACACTATGAATGGTAACTTACCTCTCTACTTCTGTGCAACCGTCACGTCCTTATGTTACTCCCCAGTTCAATAAACAAGTTTTTAATACACTACACAGCTTACACCATTCTGGAAGTTCAGCTAATGTGCGATTGGTCTCACAAAGATACGTATGGCCAGGGATACGTAAAGATTGTAGAGAGTGGTCTCGACAATGCTTGTCATGCCAAAAGAGCAAAATCACCCGTCATACCATATCTCCACTTTCATCTTTCCTCACTCCCTCGTCGAGGTTTTCTCATATCCACCTCGGCATCATAGGGATCCTAATTCTGTCTTCTGGTTACAGATATTGCCTTATCGTTATCGACCGTTTCACGTGGTGGCCTGAGGCATACCCCATGGTGGACGTCACGGCGGAGACTTGCGCAGCTACTCTGGTTTCCGGGATAGCCTGATTCGGCTGTCTTTCAATAATGACTACAGTCCGTGGTCGCCAATTCGAAAGGCACCTCTTCAAAGCTCTCACCTATTTTGTTGGTGCGCGTCATTTACGCACAACTACCTATCGCTCAGCTGCGAATGGTATCATCAAGCGAATTCAGCGCCAACTCAATGCGACGATCATGTGCCACACATCATCGCATTTAATGGAAGCCCTTCGACTGGTTCTCGTGGGCATGCACAACTCATGGAAAGAGGATCTCCAAGCTACGCAGTAGGCGTTTTTAATTGGTATATGGTCAAACTCTCAGCTTACCAGGCCAATACCTATCTCCAATAGACGACTACACCACGGCAGACGTCACAGAGTACGTAACACGTCTACGATCCAGCATGGCTATACTCACCAAGCAGACATCATGGCACACCAGCACTACAACCCCATTCTACATACTACGGGACCTCCACACATCCTCTCATGTTTTTCTTCGCCGAGATCACGTTCGAAGCTCACTCGAACCACCTAAGACGGACCCTTCAAAGTACTAGAGAGACAAGCCAAGTACTTCACTATAGACATAAGGGGAAATAGAAATAACGTCTCTGTTGACAGACTGAAACCAGTGTACATGGCCAAAGAAATCAAAGACCTGGAACCCAAAGTCCCTACGGAACCTTGATAATAGGTTTTTCCCCAAGGAGAAAATCACGAGGAGTGGCCGAAGAGTGAGATTTACCGACTACTATCGACCGTAGTTACGGTCTGGCCAGAGGGAATATGTGGCGTAACTCGCTTCCCTTGGACCCCACATAAATTCGCTACGCGTATGAGGATTGAGCCACGCTCGAACATTACACCACCGCATGAAAACGATAGTACAACCTCGATGGACAACGCCCCGCGCCTTCGTCAGCGTGCGAGCCTGACCGCCGATCATTCCGCCTGCAGCATAGATAAATAAATATGTGGCAAGCTACAGATACGACAGTGACTTTTAGTCAAGTTTCCCAATTACGCCTTTTGGCGCTGCAGTCGCCCAATTTGACAGATGAGTAATGACTATACAATTTAGTATAGCTATGTATAGCTTAGGGATTGCAAGCACACATCCTTCAAATTATCGATATCGATGTTTAGTGGTGTTCTTATTTTATCGATATCGACATAAGTGCATTATACAGGAATAATAATACTTAATGAAACAATTATAATACATCTAACTTATTTATTTTTTATTGAAGCACACCAACATCATATACATACAAACGTAATCTTAGGATTAAATTAAAGGCACATTAAGTTATATAAACAAATTAGAAAATTGTGCATAACATTTTACATAAATAAGTACAATTTGACGAGAAACAGAGCAATATTTATAATTCATTAAATAAAGCAAATTAAACCACAGGAATCATTTAAGTGCTTAATATTTTACTTTTCAAGTTATTTTTTATTAGAAGCAATGCTATTTATTTTTCATCTGGGGTACACCTGGCCATTCTTTTACAAAAATTAAAAAAACATCTCTTCTTTAATTTCATTTTCTCACCACGTAACTTGAAAAGAAATAAATAAAAATAAAGTCCAATATTCATATTTTATGACTTAATGATAATCATAAACTATATATTATTTACATTAAGGTAACAAAGGGTGGCTTCATGGCAGTTGGCATTTTTTATCAGTCAACCCATGGTGTGGTGAAAATAAAGTAGTAGATGCAGTAAATAAGAGCTTTCTCAATGTCTTCGGGCACGGAATTCCAAATAAGTGTAACCTTAATACTAAAAGAGTTGTTGATAAAACCATTGAAGTGTAGTGGAACTGTAATCTTTAGATTAGATGAAGAACAAAGAACTCTTATCGTGATTTGAGGATAGATATGCTGAATATAGATATAATGGATATGTTATCTTATCTTTCCTAATTATGTCTAAGAATAAACTGAATTTATCATACCTTTATGCCAATGTGTACATATTGTTATCTTCTGGCAACATTTGTCTCACCACATCAGCATTAGATTTCTATTCCTGAAAACAAATAATATTTGTGAATTTTATGTTCTTATACATAAACCCAAAATTAAAGAATAAATATATAATGTTATACTTCTGTATTGTATGTATTAATGCTGAATGGCTACTGTTAACAACAGTTTAGTATAATCGTAATTAAAAGTGATCTATATTATCATATAACTAAGTTATATGGCAATTGTATGTGGTAGAGCCATGCTGCAGGTATATTACTGGTATAAACAATTTGTTATTTTAGAATTTTATTATAGCTAGTTGTGTAATTTAATTCCCTTTATTTTTGATTAATTATGATCAATATAGTGTAATCCTAATGTAATACAACTAAATTAATGCCAAATGTAACATTTAACTCAATAAATATATTGAACTTATTTAAGAATATTTTGACTTCAACCTTTTGTAATTAAACTATTAATAGCTTATGTACCAACATCTTAAAGCTAAACTAATATTATTTCATGAAGACTGCTATATAGCTAGTTTTGTTGTTAAATACAAGTACTTACTATAACTAAGATTAAACCAAAAATATACTAAATATACCTTTTTATATCAATCCTATATAATAAGTTTTAATAGGTATAAAAAGGTAATTATAATTATCTCAACCCACCAAAGAGCTAGATAGAAAAACATATTTATAAAAAAGTAATTTGTAACAAATCATTTACTCTGATTCGTACTGCTAACTCGAGTTGCGTGAATTTCAACTCGAGTTAAATCAATTCGTAATTTTTCCAAGTTGGCACATCTATAAGATATATAAATTCCTAATATTCACTTCACTTAGTTGTTGTTGTTTTAACTTTCATTAATCGTTTCACCATATCGTTTCATTATTAACCATAGCTTTTTTGGTGATTTTTTACTGACCCTGCATTTATATATTTAAGTTGAAAAATAGCCTGTAACTCTAATTATAGTGAAAAATCACCTATTACAGTGCAGCCAATAGATAATCTCACTTTTACTTATTCTACAATAACTCAGTTCCTACATTGACAAATCTTGCGAGATTTTCAGCTATGAATTGTCTTTATAGTATATGCTTACAAATGGTCGTACTTTTATCTTGTTAATACTTGGGCCCAAGAATGTATAGAGACGTGTCCTTCTCCTTTAAGTACCATGGTTGAAAGTAATAAAATTACTCACCTGTTGCAGTCAGAGGCACACCATGAGCTATTTCATTGCCAGTAAGCAAGGACGGGTAAGAGTATCGAAGTCTTCTGCCTTCATTGTCGAACTGAAATATATCAAAATGTTTTTCACAGACACGTTTGTTAAGTAACTGTTCTTAGGAAAGTACAATGAGCTGGGGATTTGTCGGCACTATGAAAGACATCCACAAGTTTCTTAAATTATCGTTCCTAGGGAATCTGAAAAGCCGGTGCGTTTCACGTGTTGTATTGCAACCACCAATACAACACTTTTCGTATATCATTATGATGGTTTATGCAATGTTCACACGAGCAGCACAAAAACGGAATATTGTAATAATTGAGGAAAATTTGGATAAATAATGGCGGCAATCAATATCGATAATTTTGATTTTTGACAATATGATTTGATTTTGACATTAACACAATATGGCGTCTCAAAATGGCGTCCGTAGACAGAGGACAAATTGCAACGGTAGCGCCAAGTAGCGTAGAATGGAACTAAGCTGTCACGGGCCTGGCTTTTTTTTTTTTTTTTTTTGCGGGGGGTGGTCTCTTCATCTACCTTTGAAAGGAGGGACGGGCCTGGCCTGCAGCTGGTATAGGAATAAGACGCGCGCGCTACTCACCTCAGTTAACTTACCTTGTACGCGAAGTTAATTTCACTCTATAAAATTATTTGCCAGTCTGTTGTTTTTACATTGAATAACATAACTTTATTCGGAGTCTCGTAATTCCTTATCCTATCCTATATTAGTATTCTGTTATTTATAATATTAACGTACGAGTACTTGAATACTACGATTGGGTTTGGGGGTAAGGCATTACATTTACAACTCACACCGAACCACCATTCTAGCAACCCATAATAACATAAGTCATAGTTATAAGTTATTGATTAAATCACGGAATAGCCAAGTATTACAAAATATCCAGGCAGATCGCGATCTTCCCAATTCTACAATCAAACGACGATATATTCATTATTTTTTATAAATGCATGATATCCTTTGTAAACGAATTTGTCTGTGATACCCATATTATGTTATTATTATTATAACTTATTATGATGATTAAAAAATTCCAACACATCGAAGCAGAATCACTCCCAGAAATGGCCCAAGATATGAGAACAGATCAAAAGTACTTACACGAGATCGTATCTGCGGTACAAGCAAGTTCTTTCCCAGAAGATCTAGCAAACAGGTCGCCAAGTAAACAATCTCATGCTCGTTTGCTGACCCGTGCTAATCGAATCCTACGTTTGTATGTAGCAACAGAGAAACTATCACAGAATTTGATTGCTCTGGCTACATTTGTCGTAAAAGTTTACGCCCCAACTGGGTTCTCGATTAAAAATAAACCATCATATAAAGATAGAGTTCGAAATCTATTTCAATTTGAACTCTTCATATATTTTCTCCATGTTCGGGATCCTCACCGACATTACATCACGTTTGATAGATCAATAAAATGAACCCGATTCCTAACAAGAATAATTAGCAAGGCATTGATATTTAATGAAAAAAAAAACATCCAAATCTTAATACAGAAATAGATAGAAACAGAATATTAAATAAAGAGTAAAATGCAAGCCAAAGCAAATAAATCACTGTAAGACTTCAAGGTAGCCCGTTGTGTATAAATCACATCAAAAACTAATATCTAAAACCTAAATTTAACCGACTGAAGCTCAGCCTACCCTAAGAAATTTCACTCGTATACATCTAGACCCGCAAATTTTGTTATTAGTAACATGATTTGAACCTGTAGCGTGCGGTTCAACATTTTACCACTTGCATCACAGACCCGCAAACATTACATTTTCAATTTAGCGACTTTTGTTTCTGAGTTATTATTCTTTCTGTTGAATAAATAAGTTTATTTTATTATGATTTTTTTAAAAAATCTTGTCGTTTCTGCATTGGCTTTAATCCCAAATAAAGAAAAGAACCGGATTGATTTTGCGTGCCCCAACTATTTTTATGGTAATACGAAAAAGAAAACTGTATAGCCCTTTTTAAGCACATTGTGCGTATTTAGGATGGGATTGATGGGATTTGGCGTAGTAAAAGTTTATATGGAGAAGGTGTACAAAAAGCTAAGACATATATGTATATTATAACTTATAATATAAATATATGGAAAAAGAACATTCATTGTTTACTTTCAAACTGCCAATTTTAAAAAGTTATTGATCTGTCGTTTGTTTACGTTCACAGTGCCAATGTTAATCACACACACTTCCACCTACGTGTCTAACACATAATGCTATCTGTTTAAACAGTCGCACAGAGCAAAGAGTATAATATTATAGTCACTAAGTTTTATCACAGTATTTTTTATAGAAGCGGGGTCAAATGAACATACGGTTAACGTAAATGTTGACCACCGCTCATAAACAATTGCAATGCCATGAGAATCGTAGATACGTTGCTGGCCTTAGAAGGAGTAAGCTCGTTTCTTGAAGATCCCTAAGACGTATCGGTCCGGCAAAATTGCCGGTGGTAAAATAAATAATTCCACAAAAAAGTCGTACGAGCAAAAACCTCATAATACTCGTATATCGCACAGTAGTCGTAGTGGACCGCCAAACACCCCCATGATTTGTATGATAATGTAAGTTTGCCGCAATGTGAGTTGGTGAATTTTGACGGCTGGAATTAATATAAATAATTCCTCAGCACTCTCCGAGTTAAATGCGATAGAATAGATAGCCAGTGAATCGAGGCAATCAGAGAGAACGCGGTCGTCAACGTCGCAAAATATGAAACAAAGGAAGGATTGTCGCCAAATAATTTTAAAATGTTGCCAACAAATAATTACTGACAAAGCAACCGAATGAGCTGTGGATTTTGTATTCTTAAATGTATTAAAAATTAACTATGTTCTTTATATTGAATTACATTTGAAAGTGAAATACAGTTTGATTAATAAACAAACTTAAAAATTTTATGAATTACAGTCGAATTTCAGAGGCCTGACCTAATGTATTATTAATAATTAATTTCTAGTAAATTTTTATCCTCAGCATTTTAACTCTTCAACCCCTAAGCGGTCGAATTCAACCGCGGCGCTATTCTGTCTAAATTCAAGCGGTCAAATTCGACCGCGCACACCCACAACACTTTAAACCATTAAGAATTATATTTAGAGTCTACTTTCAAAAATCAGCAAATCAGACAAAAATCAGCTTTTAGCCTTTAAAAACCACGTCGATCGCCGCTGGTCCGGTCAAAATCGGTTGATTCGTTCGTGAAATATTGTTAACGAAAAATTTTGAATGAAATATTTTTTTAAATACTCCGATATTTCATATTCAACGTCATAATTTGGTGAAATTTGGCACGTTTTGCATTTGAAATTAGCGGGAAGTTCCAGGTATGGCCTGCAGGGTCAACCAATCTTTTTTCATTACTTACTATTAATATGTGTTTTCTTTTAATATTCGAACTACCACACAATATATTCCACAATAAATTCGATCTTGCAATAAATAATTATGACGTATATTATCCGATAAAGCAAAATGATTATAAACATTTTGATTTGAAACTCAGCAATATTATATAGGATATTACTTTTGCAATTTTACGCATCGATAGTGAAGGATAATATTAAAACAATAAATTTACTATCCGTAGTCGTATAACAAGACTTAATCAAAGATATTTATTTCATTTTCATGACTGCCTCGTTTGGCTAGTGATCGTAAAGCGCGACTGCCGATCATGAAGTTTAGGCGTTTAATACTGGGTCGGGACCAAAAATCAGTAAAGAGCTCTTCTGACAAAAAATTCTTAGTGGCCTGGAGGCAAGAAGTTGGTGTTGATAAAACAGCGGTGCGGAGATTGCACATATGCTTGTGCATACACGAGTGCCCTATAATCCTGTACTGCACAGATGGCTAGTCTAACCGTTTGTCCTGGAGAACATTGTTATTGAGTGAAAATATAGAAAATTGTTAAAATAAATGCACACAATGTAAATTAACCGCAAAATTAATGTAAACATTTCATCTCCCTTAAAACATCTCTTGGTCTGAGTTCTGAAGAGCTTACCATAACTTAAGTGAGAAGCACAATCCAAATTAATTAGTCAGTGTATAAATTTAATGTTTCAGTAGTAAAATTATGCATAGCATTATGATTCATAAGTATTCGTCTTAAAGAAAAAAACCAATACCTCTCTTGGTAGTGCATACATTAAACCGTTACCGTTACAGCCTAACAAAAGTTTACTGAATAATAGCTAATAAAAGCCTTTAACCTTTTTGGTTAACCTTATAGGAATGATAATTGCCATAATTCTCTAGCTTCAGAAGCGGGTTGACAACCGCAGTTTTTTATTAGTTTAGGTTGTTTTCAAGAAGGTGCTGCTGCCTATTTCCCGGTTCATTTTCTCTGTCGCCCCTTACAAAACTCGTAGGCGATATGGAAAGAAAGAAAGAAAATATTTATTTCGCCACATAGGTACAACGCCATATTGTACATAGTTGTATTAATTCTAACGTTATTATTAAAAATAATATAGAATAGACGTTGTCAAATGTGATAAAAAGGAGAATGTCCAAATGTCCGGGGTGAGGGGGGACAGTTATTTCGTATGAAAGAAGCGAGTGATGGATTGCAATGCGGCATGGAAGAATAGGAGAACCGCACGGAGGCTGGTTGCGGTGCAAGCGACGGTCCTATTGAGTCGAGCGGCTTGTACATGGTGAGGCAGCGCAGCAACGGACGTGAGCCTTGAAAGGTGAGCGACTTATATTGCGCGTGCACGCCGACGCGTCCTCTATGTACAGACGCGCGCGCCCCCCTGCCGCTGGCTTTGAGACCGCGAATCAAAGCCGAGTTACAGCGTATAGAACGCGCAGGTATAATATCTCCAATTTCGGCCTCCAATTGGGCCTCGTGTCTAGTAAGTAGTCCTTAAAAGTAATGGTTCTTTACGTATTTCTGGCGACTATAAAAGCACCGTTAACCCGGTCTTAGAAATTGATCGTATTCACTTCCACGCATTAAATGTTTATTTAATAATTTAAGTGGAGGAAAACAGTTAAAATTGATTTTTAAAGGCAAATAAAACTAGACGATTCAAAAATTTAAACTGTTGTCAAAACACACAGAGGTTTTTTTCGTATACGAGTATAATAGAATATTTTACGGCTTGGCATCTAACACGCATCTTCATTATGATTCTTTATCGAGGTTAAATGTAGGTGTCTATAGACCACAGTAAACACATACCATTAGGTAAACTGTGTACTTGTTTGTCACCTATATAC